AGAATGCTACTCAGCGAGCAAAATACGTAGCTGAACAGAAACTTTGCTTCGCTTGTCTCAATGGCAATCATAGTTTCCGGCAATGTTCTAGAGCAAAAAAGTGCCCAAAGCCAGAGTGTGATAGCACACATAATGTCTTGCTCCATGGAGCCGAAAGAATTTTTCCTCGGAAGGAAAATTCAAATGTCTCGAATATGGCTGGAACAAACAAATCCAAGGAGAATACAAACACTTCCACCCATGCCGCTGTTAGTGATGTACATGACATTGAATCTTCTAAAGGGTTGTTGCCAATTGCAACACTTGGTGTATCCTCGGATGTAACCAGTCTCCTGACGTTGGTTCTTTGTGATAGTGCATCGACTCACTCCTGGGTGTCTTCGTCACTCGTAAACCGTCTCGGCTTAGTAGGGGAGCCCGTTAACTTGTCAATTAGTGGTTTCAATTCGACCACCGTTGTTGAGACTCAGAGGGTCAAGTTTACAGTTTCCTCCGAGCCGAATAATAGTGATTTCGTATTTTCTCTCTGTGCATATGTTAAAGACAGTATTCGGATTGGTTCCGAATTAATCAATATTGCTGATTTGCAGAATAAATATCCACAATTAGCACCTATTAAGCCCATTCAATATACTTATGAAGACGTTGAAGTTATTATCGGACAAGACTACTACCACGCCGTTAGACCCATTGAATTCATCTTGGGAGATGATAAAAACTCACCGTGTTCCGTTCGCCTACCGATAGGTTGGGTCTTAAGTGGTCCGTTGCCGCCGTCCGGTAATTCTACTTCTTCGTGTTTCAAGTGTGTTGTTGAAGATTCTTCTCTGACCGACCAGATAAAATCCTGGTACGAGTTGGAATCGTATGGTGCTTTCAAACAAGTCAATGCCCGTTCCGCCGCGGATAAACATGCTTTATCCATCCTCAATTCTGAAACCGTTCACAATGGCGAAAGATACATTGTGCCTATGCTTTGGATTAATAGTAATGTCAGTCTACCAAACAATTATTACTCGTCACTCGCCCAATTTAAATCATTGGAGAGAAGGTTAAGTAAAGACCCTGAGCTGCGCGAAAGATACGCAGAAACAATTAGAGAGGACATTAGGAAAGGCTATGTCGTTACCGTCGAACCGCATGATCCACGTAAGCGTTTCGATCGCGAGTGGTATCTTCCGCACCATCCCGTCGTAAATCCGAATAAGCCGGGTAAGGTGCGCCGAGTCCTTAATGGGGCTTCTAAGTTTCACGGCACATCCTTAAATAAGTCCTTATTGGTGGGTCCTGACCTACTCCAAAATTTAATTTTTGTGCTTTTGCGATTCCGTCAACATAAGTACGCCGTCTCCGCGGATATAGAGGGTATGTTCCTCCAGGTAGGAGTCCTTGCCCGCGATCAAATTTCGCTCCGTTTTTTGTGGCGGGAGGATACCACTTCCGATGTGGTAGTTCATCAGTACACTCGCCAAATATTCGGCGCACGGGATTCGCCTACGTGCACCAATTTCGCGTTGCGTAAAACAGCAACTGATAATATGTCCACATACCCTGAGGCCGCCTCAGTCGTAAATGAAAAATTTTACATGGACGATTACTTGGATTCATTCGAGAACGTTACCCAAGCAATTAAAACTAGTCGCGATTTGGTTTCCTTACTAAAATTAGGAGGATTTAATTTGACTAAATTTGTCAGTAATGCTGATAAAATCACTTCAGCAATGAACCCCGAGGAATCCGAAACCTCGTTTTCACCCATCAAGGAAATTTGTAACGGTGCCGAACAATCATCACACGTCTTAGGTCTTAAGTGGGACCATGTGAAAGACACATTGGTTGTTAGCAGAGGCGTGGATCGTCCTCTCGATAAAGCAATAACTCAACGAACCGTCTTGAGTTTCGTATCTTCTGTGTTTGACCCTGTTGGGTTAGTAGCTCCATACACTGTTAGGGCCCGTCTTTTACTGAAAGATATTTGGAAAATCAGTGGTCAAAGTTGGGACGACGAATTGCCAGAAGACATAAGAGATAAGTTTCTCGAGTGGCACTCCGGTCTCCCTCTCTTAGGGCAATTGACTATTCCCCGTTGTTACTTCACAGAGCCTGTTGATCAAATTGAGCTCCACATGTTCGGTGATAGCTCGCAGGACGTTTTCTGTGCTGTTGGATTTTTGCGTGCGCGACTCGCGAGCTCGCATAAAACTCAAATATCCTTCATCTTTGGTAAAGCTCGCGTTGCGCCCATGAAAGCGCTATCTATACCGAAACTAGAGCTTCAAGCTGCTCTGCTCGCCACACGACTAAAAGATGATATACTGACCGCCCTTACCGTCTCAATTAATCATGTCTTTATGTGGACAGATAGTACAACAGTTTTGCAGTGGCTAAACTCCACTGAAAAATTACCTGTATTCGTCGCTAATCGTGTCGGCGAAATCCTCGAGTCGACCACTATTGATGAGTGGCACCATGTTCTGAGCGGCGATAATCCAGCTGATACCGGTACGCGGGGGATTTCTTCGGAAGCCCTCAAGGATAGCAGCTGGGTTATTGGTCCGAGCATCCTCAGGACTACTGATTGGCCGTTTATACCCGACGAACGTGTAATCAATAAAATTCGTTTGAAGGGTCCTTCTTGTGATGTTGATAATTGCTTGGAGACATCATCTTCCTTCGTCACCGATGTCACATCAATCAAACATCCCGAACACGGGTTCAATTGGGAAAGGTTCAGTTCCTTTACAAGATATAAACGAGTAGTCGCTTTTATGTTGAGGATGTTGCCTTCACATAAGCATTTTCGTGGTAAGGACTTACGAATCACCGACCCCACTGAACTTGATATTGCAGAAAGCAAATTGATTCATCTTTCTCAGATGGAATCCTTTCCCGTTGAGTTAAAAACACTCACCGCTGGCAAACCTATTAAGAATAGTAGTAAAATTGCCACATACTCGCCATTTATCGGTCCCGCTGGAATCATTCGTTCCACCGGACGGATTGTGCGCTTAGTGAATACCGAGTTTGATACTAAGCACCCAATAATACTCGACGCCCGACATACCTTAGTTCGTTTGTTGGCCCGCAGCCTCCACCATAAGCATTTTCATCAAGGATTAGATTACATGCGCTCCGTTTTAAATATGAAATATGCGGTACTTGGGTTGCGTCGACTACTTCGGTCTATCGAAAATCAATGTGTGACATGCCGTAAACGCAAATCAAGCACCATCCAGCCAATTATGTCCGATTTACCTGTCGAACGTCTCGGATATAAGCAACCACCCTTCAATCATACGGGTGTGGATTACTTTGGACCGCTTTACGTTCCGGTTCGCAGAAGCACGGAAAAAAGATGGGGATTCCTTTTTACTTGCCTCACCACCAGGGCTGTACACCTTGAGATTGTACCATCTCTGGACACCAGTTCGTGTGTCATGGGCATTGAACGTTTCGTTGCGCGCCGTGGTACGCCAAGCACAATCTGGTCGGATAATGGCACGAACTTCGTTGGTGCGGAAAAGGAATTACTTGCCTGCATCAAGAGCTGGAATGGCATGGCTCCGACCATTTTTGCACATAAAGGTGTTACTTGGAAATTTAACCCGCCAGGCGCACCCCATCATGGCGGCTCCTGGGAACGCCTCGTCCGAAGCGTGAAGCGCGTGCTGTACGATATCCTAGGCAGTAGGCGAGTCACTGAAGAGGTGTTAGGAACAACACTCTGCTTAGTTGAACAGGCTTCGAATTCGAGGCCAATCACTCCCGTTAGTACCGATTCACGTGAGTTAGAAGCGTTAACCCCAAACCATTTTTTGCTTGGACAACATGCCACAAGCTTTCCTTCGCTTTTACCCGGGGAGCACTTCGATCACAAGAAAAGGTACGTGCGAGCGCAGTCATATGCTAACGCGATTTGGTCTCGTTGGCTTCGAGAATATGTTCCCTCGCTGAATAAGCGTGTCAAGTGGCACACTCATTCTGACTTCACTCTTAAAACAGGCGATCTCGTGTGGGTGATTGAGTCCGATAGTCCGCGTGGGTACTACCCTCTCGCCCGAATCGTCAAGCTAAACTACGGACAGGACGGTTGCGCCCGATCCGCCCTTGTCAGGACCGCAACCCGTGAAGTCACGCGGCCGACCGTTAAGCTCGCTCCGGTTCTTCCTTCTTCAGGGGGGGAGGATGTTGCAATGCAAATGTAGAATAAAACAAGAGTATAGATGCATATAAAATAAGCACAGTTGGCCAAGCGGACTAAGACAAAGTAAGCTAACGCCGATTATATGTGTGAAATAACAGTTGACGTAGGTTCGAGTCCCCCACCTGCCCATGTATTAATATACTAAAAACGGGGGTTACTTCCTATTTTAACTGTTTTTTGGTTCTAATTCGGTTCAGCCTTGATTAAGGTTGACCGCCAAAAAGAGTAATTTGTCTCAAGAACATTACCGACCGGTTCTTGTGGCTAGCTTGCGCCGATTTGTACCAAAAACTGACAGATGCTAAAAATGTTGTATGATGTCCTGATCAATAGAAAAAACTACCGAAATTTATCTATTGCTTGAGTTATTTACCGATAAATATCTCATATTAATTTACGAATTTGGATTCAATTATTTTCGTTTGGAGATTAGCGAGCATATTAAAGGTCTCAAAAAGCGTTAATGACTTTCAGTTTAAAAAAGGGATATAAAAGAAAAAAATCCCATCGGAAAAGAAAAAAATCTCCGGAATGGTCCGGTTATCTCAAATTAGGTTTCTTTTATCTTAAAAAGAGTCAATCAAAAATTGTTCTTAAAACTTGAAGAACTTCATGGTCATATGTTTTTACATTGATTTTCATCAATATGCTTGCTAGTTCAAAGCTCTTTTTGCCTTCGTTTCTGCTTGTGTCTAAGGTCTCGTTTCAATAACTTTTTATTTGTATCGAAAAAAAGCACAATGATGGTTTGCGTGTTTTGCTAACCAAACTTTAACTTTGGCAATTTTTGTTTCAGTTGTGCAACTGCGTACGTGTTCCTGCAAGTGACCATCACGCGGGCCATAATGCAGGACGGCAGCTTCTCTGGTCTGCCGAACTCGGCAGCAATCTACTGGACGAGGATGTGGTTGCTGTTCGTGTCCATGTCCAGTATGGTAGTCATGCGACTGTTCTACGGGTGGGCCGGCGTCACTCTGCCCTCTTTGTCTGAACGAGCGACGCACAAGGAACAATTTATCACCGAGGTGTGAATTAATTTGGATTTTCGAACATGGCCACACTTTGGTCAAGATATATATATAAAAAAAACGAATTAATCTATTTTTTTTTGTGCTAATAAAGGAAAAAACACTTAAAGCAGCCAAATTATCCTTGGTGTGCGCTCGAATTGGCTGGTCGGAAGTCTGTGCTTTATAGAACTCTATCAAAAGTCTCCGTGGTATTTTTGTGTAACGACAGCCAGACCGCAATATAGCCAGATGAATATATGCTGAATCAGCGCATGCCTGAACCACCTGGCACCTGCTTGTAAAAACGATGTATTTGAAAAACTGGATCTTTTCAATTATTTCACGCCCTATTGCAATGGTAGCTTGTTGATATGTAGAGAGTTCATTTATGCTTAATCATTGAAACATTCCTTGAAAAGGATGGGAGGGGGGGGGGGGTAGCTAAAGCGATCTGAAAAATATGTTTCATTTTTTTGTTTCGATTTTTTGTAGGTACCCCGTCCTTACGAGGAAGAGTCTTACTACTATGCGGCTACATGTAGTGAGTGGACGTTGGCCATATCCCTGTTTATGTTTCTCCTCACCTTCTCCTACGAGTTCTCTCGAGTCGACTTCACTCTGGACGTCCTCTACGACGGATACACAACAATAACATATCCACACAATCATCAGGAGGAGAAGTTCAGGTTTATGTGAACAAGTTTCACCAGCACATTATCGTGTGATCAAATTACTAGTGCCGTTACAAAGCCACCACAATGTAACTCTGATTTCTCGTTAAACTGGTGATTTTATGTAAGAGTTTTTATTGGTGTACATCGGTGAATTGTTGTCATTAAGATACAAAAGATTTGTTTAATTGGAGTAATTTTTTTAAAAGCTAGGGTAAATCCATGTTCGAAAGATGGAAAAAAGTATTTTGAAATTTGTTCGGTGTTTTAGTTTATTGCGGCAATCTGAATAACTGGTTAGCGATAACCAACATTATCAGACTCCTATTAAAAAAACATAGTCTCTGCTATTCGATTGTGACTAAGGAGGTGTAACTTTCTTCTATCCCAGTGAGGCAAATTTGGCTGTCTACTTTAAAGATTAAATCTATCAAAAAATAGTCAGCTAGAATTTTTTTTACAAACTCAAAGCAGAACATGCATCTTATCCGTTGACTCCTAAGTTTCCAGATTTTGAATTCAAAATCTATATGACCGCAATTTTGTTAAGGCACTTTTCTTTTTGCATCATTTTTCCACGAGTGTCGATATAAATTGTTAGACCCCAAATGATTGTATTGATGATGCGAGCCTAACTTTTAACTCCTTCTAATTTGTCAACGAGCCGTGTTCATTGCAATCCGGCATTCAGGCCCAGCTTTATATCTTTGAGGACCGTTAGTGGCTCACAAAAGACCTTAACCGGCTTTTACAATCCGTTGGTTGCAACTTAACAACATTGTACGAGAAAACATGGAAATTTTTATAGAAGCCATTTTTACCACGTGCTAGGATACAAAATCCTATAATACAATTTCTATATGAAAAACTTTTTGCCATATATATTTCGATTAGTACAGTAAATTGTATAAAAATGCGATGATAAAAATTTTTTCATACTTCAAATTTGTATGATAGACATTTTTTTACTGAATAAATGAAAAAATACCAATTTTTGAGTTTTTTTAAATTTAATTTTCAGAACTCCCAGCAGAATAAACTTTTTCCGAGCGGAGTGAATGAATTTTTTTAGAAAAGTACTAATCATGAATTGTACAGTAAGGTTTTATCTAAAAAAAACTTATCCATAAATTGTTTTTAGGTCATCTGTTAATAAATTTGATCTTCAAAAATTGGATTTTTTTCAGAATTAAGTCAGTTTTTTTTCTGTTTCCTTGCGTTCAATTACTCTTCATTTCAATTGTCTGTTGGCGATGTTTGTAATTTGTATGACAAGCATTTTCCAATAGACTAAAAGTCTGGTACTGAAAGATAATCATTTTTTGTATTGAGTCAACTTGGTAATGTTATTGGAGCGGATACACCCAATGCCATTCAACCGTGTTTGAATGCTGTTAATGGCCTGAATTAGTGTATTTTCAACCATTTTTTTCTAACAAAACTGTTAATTTAGTATAAACTTAGGTTTTGCTCAAAATTGTTTCCGGAAAAGTCGTATTTTTCCCCCGAACTCAATTTGGGAAATATTGTACAGATGATTCTTGAATCTTTATTTGGGAACAAAGTGATGTCAAAGTTTCAGCTGATAAATCAGATGTCCAGATACGGCTCACTGGTCTACTTTGAATGAACTTTTCTTCATTTGTTGGCGTTCAACAGTGCCGAATACTAACAAGACTATATATATACCAGGGAACAATTTTCAATATTTGAGCATAAATTAACAAAGTTTGATTTTGAGTATTTTTTAATCACTCACCACACGCTTTGTAAACTACAAATATAAAGATTTAATATATAGCAAAATAATAAATACACCAATCAGCATGCCTTATTTCATTTTGGAACGACTTCTAAAACGGTTTAAATCTCCGCTTAGGCGCTAATGACACGCAAAATATTGTGCGTTAAACGTCGCAAATATGTGATCTTTAAACCCCATAACCTTACGAAAAACGATCACAGGTAAAATAATTTCATAAATTTGAGCTCAAGACAACAATATTTTTCAAATTATGCTAAAAAGTTCCAAAAAATGCTTGTTAAAAAGGAGCTTTGCAGAAAAAAACAACCCGAGCACAAATTTTCCTTTAATTTCTACGTAAGTCGCAACAAAGAGATTTTATCTGCACTTTTTCCGCCTCCGTCATTCAATTGCTTGCGATCTCAATTTCGTTTCAATTGTCCATATAAATTTTGGAAAATAAATATCGGTTACGTAGCAGTCAATAGACAACCGTGTATTCGTCCTTGTCATCAAGAAGACACACACCATGTTTACCAACCAGAACCGAGATATGAAATCAAACTTTAAAAAATATATATTTCTTGTTTGCTTCTGATTGGTTAATATAGTATTGTCTTCTTACTGACGAGTATAAAGGCGCGTTTCTTACTTACAGACCGCACTCCTAAAGGTTCAGAATTATGTGTTCATTGGTTCACACGGAATGAGAGAAATTGTTTGTTCAAATATCTTTCTTTTTCTTAGTTAGCCTCGGATTCAGAAGAATGAGAAAGGAGGTGAATAATAGGCCGGTCAGGGTGGAATTGCGTTCGTCTAGTTTGATAAAAAAAATATCTTGTTTTTCCTGTTTTTGAGGCTATAGACGATTGTTTGAACATTTTATTTGCAATGATTATAAAGCGATAGTTTGTGATGCGTTGTTGTGCCAGGTTTGATATGACTGGTTTCAATTAAAAATTGTTTTGTAAATCCAAAAAGAAGGGAGGGGTTCTTTTTTATGGTTTGCTAGTCGGAAGTTGAAGTTGATTTGACATTTTTGCTCAAAAAAACTTGTTCTGGTCATGTTTTGAATGAAACTTGAAGCTTTAAATTGAAAGCATAACACAGATCATTCAATTTGTCTTTGATCGCATTCCGCCGGGCCAATTATTCATTTTCTATAAACTTTGCTTCAGTGTTGGTTAGTGATACCTATTTTTGCTGAAAAACTGGTTCTCTCCTTAAAAGTTGCAATTCTGTTTCAGAAAATTTTAAACTAATTTTCTTAGAGATCTTAAAAAATCTTGAAGAATCTTTGAAAATTATTGAAGAATCTTGAAGACTTTTCCAAGATTTCAAGATAATTCAAGTTTGCTTTGTGAGTTGCAGAGCCATCATAAAGGTTCTGGGATATGTTTTTGGTTTTTGGACTGTTAAAAATCTTATAAAACATGAAAAGTTTTGATACATTTTCAAAAGTCTTCAAAATAGTGGCAAAATTTTCTAAATGACTAGATCTGGGAAGTTTTTAACTACAATAAAAAATGGTTCGAAATAGGCGATGAACTAGATGAATATAACATCCTCTGATTTACAACTTATCCTACATTTTTCTGAGTGAGAACGTTTTTTTCCACGTTTCAGAGTAGAAAATTTATTTCGTTCTGAAAATGATTGATGAGACATTTAATATCATTCAGAGCCCAAAACAATTTTCGAAAATTTTGACGACTATTTTTTAGGTCGACCAAAGAGATTTTCCAAGCTCTCCTAAAGCACTAAAAACGACGCTGTTTTGGCCAAATTTTCTGCGCCGCCAAAATTTCTGCGCCAAAAAAAAAGGTCAAAAAAGCCGTTTTTGGGCACTTTTTGGAAATTTTTGACCAACAAATTGCGTTTTTTTTTCTGGCGCGCGCTCCGCCTCAAAATTAGCATATATTGTGGCCAAAGGCCCCTTTAAAAAATTTTAGGGTCGGTCGGCCAAAATGGATTTCTTAAAAAGTACCAAAGGGGGACCCTTTGGGTCGGCAGGGGGTCGAATCCCTGAGAAAGGGGGCATCCGCCCAATCCCCCACCCCCTAAATCCGCACCTAGTTTGCTCAATTAGCCGAGATAGAGTCTGTTTTATAAAATCAACAGGTGACAGCTGAATTGCACCTATTTGTCAAATCTTTTCCTGCAAAAAACAACCCCATCTTTGCATAAGCAGAGCGCAATGCCGTTTAACTAAGTCCAATTTTTCTCTAACCTAAATTGGAAAAGTAGCAGCGTTTTTGCTGGCATTTTTGCAGCAACAGCGTTACATCTGGTTTATTTTTGCTGGATTTTTTTTGCTGCATTGACATTCTATCTTCGTATCTGTTTGTTTAGCAGCTAGTGTTTGGTAATTGTCAATCATATGAGGCGCATATGCTAGGATATGATTTCACCACACCAATTTTTTTATTTATTTTACTTTTTCATTTTTGTTTTCACAATTTTCAGTTTTTTTTACTGTTTTCTCGTTTGTGTTTGCAAGATTCTGCTTTGCCTCTGTCTGTAAGTTTTGTGGTACATTTTGATGTGTAATAACAATGGTTAATTCGGTATAAAAAATCATTGTACAAGACGAAACAAGACATTTTACTATCGGCAACAATTAACCGCAGAATCAATATGCCCAGGTGTGTGATTTAAATTGTTTAATGCTACAGATTGAATACTTATTACCCTTTTGTTACTTTTATCTTTTTTTGATCAGAATAGACGAAATAGTAATCGTTGTCAAAACATCTAGGTAAAAGTAGTGTGTACTAGTTGCACAATAAGTATGGACTCTAGAGGCTTGTCAAAAGTTCTTTTGAAAGTTTTTTAAGCCAAATTTTGAAGCTGGAAGGTCGGCTTTATTTCCACCGGCTTAATTTTTGAATAATTTTTTATTTGATTTCATTTTTTCTTGATCTAATTTGAAGGAATATCAATTTATATTTGAAACTTTTGCCAAAATCCAAATTAATCCAGCAGACCCTCCTGAATAAAAGTGAAAAAATTAAATAAAGAAATTTTTCAAAATTTCGACTTTTCGACTTTTTCAGTTCAACTTTGGTTGAAACTTTAATTGTTTTTGGTCGTTCGATCGGCTGTGTTCATTGCATTCCTTTAGTGCTTATGATATAGTACATGAGTTGTTTCACAATTTTTGTTCACTTATTTTTGACAAGCTTAGATTTTTTACGAACTTTTCTCCATGCTTTCTCGCACATAAATCGTAAATTTTAAAAAAAGGGGTTTTCAAACGAGGACCCAGCAAGTTTTATAAAAATCTTCTTTTATTTTTTTCTCGACCAGATGATATTACTGAAACGTTTGCCATTCTTTCCAAATTCTTTTTTATGAAAGACACGTTATCTCCATCTTTTTCATCAATTATGAATCATTACGTTTTTGTGGTCTCTGAGTTTTTGTTCCACTGTCGTTTTC